CCTTTTAGGGGGAAAAAAACATTAATTTACGCAAAGCAAATATGTTTAACACAATAAGATTTGTTTTCAACCAATCTGCGACTTGTTTTTAGACAATCTGTTTTAAGTTTTTTTAAACGTTTTTACTTGTTCATTTTAGTTGTTACTTGTTTTCAGATAATCTGTCTTAAGTTTATTTTTCTTAACATTTTTTCTAACGAAAAAAAACAAACAAAAATAAAACAAAAAATCTATACAAAAAAAGCAAGTTTTCAAAACTGTAAGATGTTTTTAATACGTTTTTTTTCGAGGCAGGCTGTTAATTCAAGTTTCTTTTTTTAACAAAACAAAACAAAACTGCACAATAAAGTAAATATTTAACACAATAAGAATTGTTTTCAGACAATCTGTCTTGATGAAAAACATTTTCTAACAAAACAAAATGTATACAAAGAAATGTACATAACAAAGCAAGTGTTTAACAAAATATTTTTCGTTCCCTCAAACAGATACGCTGTGGCTCCATGTCCGTTCCATGGGCCAGTGGACAAACCGCCTGTACGAGTATTTCAGACAGCCGGAGAGTCAAACCATTAGCAACAAGAGGCTCACCGCCAGCCTGAGGAACAGACGCCACGAGAGCAGAACGCAGGTCTTTGATTTTCTCCATCATCCATTGGCTGAGCGCCGGAATCTTAACACATAGTGATAGAAGTTCATTACTGTGATGTTTTATTGATGCAATTCTTTATAGGTGGGGTCGCTTTGTAATCACATCATTGATATTACCAAGACTTTTTGAATTTCTTTTATTATATGAACGGGCTTCTCTCCAGTATTTTTTGGAACAAATATTGCCATTTATTTTATAGAAAGATAAGTTCAAATTGCAAAGTAAGAACTTTAAACAAGTTTAATACAGTAGACATTTGCACTTCTTCTGCAGTATTATTGAGATACTATTATAGTTTTCATTAATATTTTGAATTTATTTTATTTTTATATTTTTATATATATCATTTTCATTTTAGCTTAGTTTTTTTTATAAAACGGATAGTTCCGGTCCTTGATTCTGATTGGTTTAGCCACGTTCGAAGCTGTTGTAAATTACTCCACAAACATACACCTTTGTTTACTTCTGTGTGTTGTTTGGCAACCACTTTGTTGGAACCACAACCGTTTCTGAGGAACTACATTGTTTGGTGGAAGAATACTGTATTTATATCATTACACTTTATTTGCTCTGTTTTATTTTGTGAAACCTAATTATGTATATGGAATAACCGTTTTATAAAAGCAATAAGCCCCGTGAAGCCGTGGTTTACAGTGAATTTATAACAGCTAAGGTGCGTTGTTAGGCACGACGCGAAGCAGAAAAAACGTATATTTAAAAAAAATAATATTTTTTAAATATCTATGCATTTTTATAAATTTTATTTCAGTTTAGATTTAGTTATTTTAGTACATCAAGTTAAATTAAGTAAAAATTTGTGGGGGAAAAAAACATTTAAGTAAAAATGTTGCCTTGGCAGCTAGCTGAATTAATTTTTTTTTCAGTTAAAGTTTATTTTATTTCAAGTAATGAAATTCTTTTTTTTTTTTTGGTTTTAGTTTTAGTAAACAATGTAACACTGCTCCATGTAGAATGAAATGTTCAAGTCTGCAAGCTGCAACAATACTGTGGCGTCTAATAAGGATGATGCTGTTGAACTGACCCTATACCGGACAAGCATAACACACACAAACTCCCAGAAGCCCGTCGGTGACCCAGTAGCCCAGGCAGAACTGGGAGACGCCTCTCCGGATACAAGAGAAGTGAGTTTTCTGTCTGAACAAAGCACAACATATGTTCTATTATACATAAGATACACATTAGCCAGACTTTCTTTTTTTTTTGTCTTCCAGCTTACAGCAAAATTAAGTGAAAATCACAGATATTGTAACATTAAGGTAAGTAATGTAATTACAAAAAATGTCATCTAATTTACTGAAAGTGATTGTCTTACAGGAATTGTATGCATTTGTTTATGCCTTTGTTTGTTAGTGCTATGTGGACGGACCTTTTGGCACTCCGACTCGGCAGATCTTTGCATCTGAGCATGCGGTGCTTATCGGCGCTGGAATAGGCATCACTCCCTTTGCATCCATTTTGCAGAGTATTATGTGCCGGTGAGACACGCAACCTCTCCATTCATAAAATTCGAGTTAAGTTTTCTTTGCATGAAAAAAACCACATGTAAATTTCTTTAATTTGTGTGTAAAATTTCATTTTGTCTTTTTTTCAGTTATCGCATGAGAAAGCAAAACTGCCCCAACTGCAACTATTCCTGGTGTGAAACCATCAAAGACAATGAAATGAAACTGAGGAAGGTAAGAGTGGTGATCAGTCAAATGGAAACTAGAATAAATAGGAGGGGAAATATTTATTTTATTTCAGAAAATTAAAATTTTTGGGTCAACTATTCCTTTCAGTTCAGTTGCTGTCTTAAATTATTAAGTAATCAAACTAGTAAGTTGTACAGTTCAACTCATTTTTTTAAAATCTTGTCTTATTGAATCTCACAATTTAAAAAAATTAAGTTGAAATTGGTTACATTTAATCATGTTGCCATGATTTATTGATCATATTATTTTTTACAGTATATAGATAGCTTCAAAGCTGATGGTCATGAACAACTTCGATCTCATGAAGTTTTTAATTCTCTTCTAACTTCCTGCAGGTGGACTTCATTTGGATCAACCGAGATCAGAAATCCTTTGAGTGGTTTGTGAGTCTCTTGACCAAGCTGGAGATGGACCAGGCAGATGAAGAGCCAGAGGGTACGAGAGAACTGAAGAAAGAGGGATATGGGGTTGGCACTGAAATGTTGGCACAATCATACTTGTTTTTATATTTTCAGGCCGTTTTTTAGAGATGCACATGTACATGACTTCAGCCCTCAGTAAGAATGATATGAAGGCCATAGGTCTGCAGATGGCTCTGGACCTACTGGCCAAGAAAGAGAAGAGAGATTCCATCACCGGCCTGCGCACACGTACACAGCCAGGCAGACCAGACTGGGCCAAGGTAAGTAAGGCCAATATTCTATTCTGTTCTGTTCTGTTCTATTCTATTCTCCCCAATATCTTTGATTATCAGTGTTTAAATGCATTTTTAGGTTTTCCAGAAAGTGTCTGAAGAAAAGAAAGGAAAGGTTCATGTTTTTTATTGTGGTTCTCCTGCTCTTGCCAAAGTCATCAAGGCCCAGTGTGAGCATTTTGGCTTCAACTTCTACAAAGAAAATTTCTGAAGAATTTACAATATTTCATTTGCTTGAAATCCTACAAATAATAACACAATCATCTGACAATCTGATCTTGCCGATGTGTCTGATGTTGTACGTTTTGTAAATCTTGTGTTGTTGTATGCTCTTATTTATTTGTAGTGTTTGTGTAAGTAAACTTTTAACACTTTTAATGAAATTGTATATGTTTTTTTTTTTAATTAATTTTAGAAATGCCCTTTCTGGTTATTATGAATATGCATCATGTAAAAGTTTTTTTCTCCAGTAAGAGAATAGTCACTGCAGTTGGTGCAATGTAAAATTGTCATGTAAGTAATAATATGAAGTAATTTACTGTAGAATATACAGTTGGAAATATTAGTTACATGTAAATATAATGATTAAAAAGGTTACACTTTATTTTAAGGTGTCCTTGTTACAGTGTAATTATACATTGATGTACTGAGAAATATTAATTAACTACATGTACTTACTATATGGTTAGGGTTAGGATAAGGGCTTGGTTTAGGGTTACTTGCATTTAATTATATATTCATAATTATATGTTATTATAATAGTAAGTACATGTAACGTGTGTAACAAGGACACCTTAAAGTTACCAAAAAAATAAAATAAAAGTCAACTGCTTTGATGACATAAACAGTTTACATTGCCAAGGCATAATAATATAAAAATAATGATAAATATTACATACTCTGTTAACATGCTTGGATACAGCACTCTGTGAACAGCCAGCTTCTTGCGATGAATGTTTGTGGCTTACCCTCCTTGTGAAGGGTGTCAATGATTGTCTTCTGGACAACTGTCAGATCAGCAGTCTTCCCCATGATTGTGTAGCCCAGTGAACCAAACCTAGAGACCATTTTGAAGGCTCAGGAAACCTTTGCAGGTGTTTTGAGTTGATTAGCTGATTGGCATGTCACCATATTCTAATTTGTTGAGATAGTGAATTGGTGGGTTTTTGTTAAATGTGAGCCAAAATCATCACAATTAAAAGAAGCAAAGACAATCTACTTCAGTCTGTGTGCATTGAATTTATTTAATACACGAGTTTCACAATAACAGTTGAATTACTGAAATAAATGAACTTTTCCACGACATTCTAATTTATTGAGATGCACCTGTATACACATTAGAAGTATTAATATTTTTTTAATTACTTGTATTTATTGTTCTATTTATGTGTCTGTGTAAGTGTTTTAACTATTGCTTCTAAGTGTAAAAACGTTTGAAATCGTTAGAGATTGTAATAGAAATTCGTTGCCCATACCTGTCGCATTATGTTCCCTGTTCTGTTTTTAAGAGACTGTGGGAATTCTCAGATTTCCTGAAATAAACAGTCAAACTCAGACATGGATTATTCACTTGGTTTACAGAGACATCTTGCGATTATGTTCAGCAATGCAACACAAGCAGCACTATATGAACTTTATTTATCATTCAGAATTTCACTGAGATTCTGCACATAAAATCATACATATAAACGTTTTCTTATTCCTTTTTAATTTACCTGAGTATTAACCTAAAATGTATAATAATAATAAAATAATTGTCAAATGTTTTAAAATAAAATTTTAGTTAAAAAATAACAATATGCATACAATTCATAAATGCAGGTGGGCTTGCCACAAACAGGAATCGTGCTTATAAATCTTAATATTCACCTCATATCACATCTCATCTGACATAAGATTGGCTGCCACGTAATCACGTCGCCTCCCATTGGTCAGTGCTGCATCAATACAGCTGTAGCATCTATCATGTTGCAGATTTGGAGCGAGAGGTATCTCTCCGCATATATTTTTATTTGTCGTCTTCTATTTTATGCCTTCATAGACCCCCGAGCGGAAGGCGCGCGGGTTTCAGGTGAGCCCAAGTAAGGTTTCATTCCGTTTTATAGCACTGCATGTTGTTCAACGCCCTCATTCGCATTCAAAATCATATGAGCGTTCGCAGCTTCAATTTAGAGATGCGATTAGATTTGATAAGCATTCGCCTGTGTGTGTGCTGAATAATGAGATTTGTTTCTTATTCATAATGTGACCATGCAAGTTTCATCTAGATGGTATGTAGTTATACATAAATGTTTTTATTTTATAATTCAAATGTATTATGAGCGTAGCCTTCACCACAAGACTAAAGTAAGGTAAGATTTGATATTTTGTCATATTTTGTGGTTATTCCATATGACAAAATGGTGGACCCATATTTACCTCTGTCCGCAGATATGCGCACCTGAATCGCTCAAACAGAACCATAAGGGTTTCCTGAGATGTTCCGGTGTCAGTTCCACTATCACTGCATGGCTGTGATGTGACAATGCGCTGTCTGGTGGCTCGCATCAATCACAAGACTCTGATAGTCATCTGTGCTGTATTTGCCCTCATCACTATACTGCTGTGGAACAAGTGCTCCAGTGACAAAGACCTGCCCACACAGATCAGACCTCAGCTGGAGTTTGCACCCACCCCAGAGAAGGATGAGGACAACGGGCAGGCCCCCGAAGCACCGCCTGGATCCAAAGAAGTCACTTATGAGCAGATTGACTGCCTTATCAATGAAGATGTCATCATAAAAGGCCGTAGGGAGGGGGGCGAGGTGTATCTGCCCTTCAGCTGGGTGGAAAGGTACTTTGACGTCTACGGGCGTCTGGTACAGTATGATGGGACGGAACGGTTTGAGTTCTCCCACAGTTACTCCCGGGTGTACGCCCAAAGGGAGCCTTACCACCCGGATGGGGTCTTCATGTCCTTTGAGGGGTACAACGTGGAAGTGCGGGATCGGGTGAAATGCATCAGTGGTGTGGAAGGTAGTTTGGGGTGTCCCTTATTTTGCCACCCTACGTAATAATACACACAGAGTAGGGGTGAAACGGTTCACAAAATCCTCGGTTTGGTTTGTATCAGGGCTTTGTAGTCACGGTTTTCGGTTCGATTTGGTATACATTGTTAATGTTTTTTTTTTCCTTTTTAATATTTTTTGAAATACCATACATCAGCATAAAATATATAGCTGTATAATCTACCATTTACAGTATTTAAAAATAAGTTATTCTCAAGGTCATGTAATCAAAAAACTGAAAGAATGAGGCAGCGTGATCTTAGGAATAGACACATTATTGTGACACTGACCATCATAAATTAAATCTGTGGGATTCTGATACAGCAAGAGGGGAGATGTCAATTTCAACAGGCTTTTCATTTATTTGTTAAAAAGTTTACAACTGTTGGCCTTAAATTGTAGCTGAGAACAAAAACACTTATTGTCAAATTTAAAGAATAGGCTTTCTTGTCACTGTCAGTGCCTAGCCTACATTTATTACAAGGTTAACTTTGAGGTAGCTTTTACAAAAAAATGAATCTTTAAATTAAGAAAAATAACTTAAAGCTGTAGATTTTTATGGTGACATAAAGGCCTCCAACATAAAAAGAAACATAAGATCAACCAGCATAATGCTTTCCCTTCTTTAAAATAAACTCAACCACTTGAAATGAAAGTGCAGTATTTGAAAGAAAACCAACCAAATAAATAAATAAACTAAATAAATTAGCTGCCCTTAAATATAAAGTACAGCATAAATAAAACCAAACAACATTGCTCTGTTCATTCTACTTTCATGTTCTTTTGCAAGAAAATTAGTATGTCCACGTTTTCTGCTGAGAGATGAGACCTACTTGCAGAGACAATGTCCCCTGCTGTAGAGAAAATTCTCTCACTTGGTACAGTTGTGCCTGAGACAGCAAGGTAGCGTTGTGACAATTTAGCAATGTGAGGATACTTTGGCTCATTTATTTTATAGGGGATCTGCATCAACAGAAATGCAATCTGTGGCTTAGGAGGTGACTTCTTGCTGAATGATGCTGGACAAAGGTTTGTTGGTTCTCTCCTCTGTTGTAAAGAGTTCTCCAAAAAGCTCTGCCATGGCAGATTTTTTCTGGGGAGGAGCTGATGCTCCTGGCTCTGCTGCGGAGGATGAACTGGCCACTTGGATGTCACTGGATTGACCCTGTACAGTAGAAAACCAACAAACACCATAATAGTTTAGAAAATAATATTAATAACAACAAAGTGCTTTCATAGCAGCAAAGACACTAAACGTATTCTTTGGGCTGTGGGGGAAATTATTACAAAGCCACAAATATGCTGGGTTTAAGTTTAAGAAATATACTGTAATAGTAATGATGATAAATTACATTACATTTAGTTATAAAGAAAATAAAAACACAATACCTGCTTTTTAATTTCCATCACCTCTGTGGTGAGATTACTGTAAATTTTCTGAACAGAGGCTTCCTCCAGGTAAGGCAACGACTTGAACCTTGGGTTCAGTGCTGTGGCTCTGTGCAAATAGCCCTGAAGATCAGGGTCACGGCATTTGCCTTTACGGTCTTCAGAGATGGCTACCTTTGCATCTTTGATTGGGGGAGTGTCCACATCACTAGTTGTCATGGATTTTAGTATCATCTTTTGCAAAGAGATGATCATTGACACAGATGGGGATGCTTCAGTACTCGTGAGTGTTGTCACAGTCTTCAGGGTTTTAAGAGCGTTAATCAGGTCCTCTGGCAGTTTTGCCTCCGTGTCTGACAAGGTTGCAATGTCCTTTACGTTTTTTTTACCTCGTTGTCCATCATGGCAGAAAATATGGCAGCCTGCTGTTCGACATAACGCTCTAATATGTCATACGTTGTATTCCAACGAGTAGAGACGAAATGTACTAGTTTGTAAACAGGAAGTTGCAGCATCTCCTGCTCGGTTTTCAGAGCATGGGCAGCTGTTGCATTGACTGCATTAACCATATTCTTTTGCATTGTCTGTAGTCACAGGGATTGTGCTGTTGCACTTCTCCAGTTTCCACTTTGTCACTGCTTGTGTCAGTGCTTTAGAGAGATGCTCACTGGTGTGGCTTTTATAAAGGGGGCGGGTCTGCAAAATCATGCTTCTTATCTCCCACTCCGAAGTAATGTAATGTACAGTCACAGTTAGGAAACTTTCAGTGGCCCTGGAGGTCCATGCATCTGAAGTAAGAGCTACGTAGGCTGTTTCGGACAATTCTTTGACAATTACTTGTCATGTCTCTTCAGACAGTTCGGGATTCAGCTGGGTGGAAAGGTACTTTGACGTCTACGGGCGTCTGGTACAGTATGATGGGACGGAACGGTTTGAGTTCTCCCACAGTTACTCCCGGGTGTACGCCCAAAGGGAGCCTTACCACCCGGATGGGGTCTTCATGTCCTTTGAGGGGTACAACGTGGAAGTGCGGGATCGGGTGAAATGCATCAGTGGTGTGGAAGGTAGTTTGGGGTGTCCCTTATTTTGCCACCCTACGTAATAATACACACAGAGTAGGGGTGAAACGGTTCACAAAATCCTCGGTTTGGTTTGTATCAGGGCTTTGTAGTCACGGTTTTCGGTTCGATTTGGTATACATTGTTAATGTTTTTTTTTTCCTTTTTAATATTTTTTGAAATACCATACATCAGCATAAAATATATAGCTGTATAATCTACCATTTACAGTATTTAAAAATAAGTTATTCTCAAGGTCATGTAATCAAAAAACTGAAAGAATGAGGCAGCGTGATCTTAGGAATAGACACATTATTGTGACACTGACCATCATAAATTAAATCTGTGGGATTCTGATACAGCAAGAGGGGAGATGTCAATTTCAACAGGCTTTTCATTTATTTGTTAAAAAGTTTACAACTGTTGGCCTTAAATTGTAGCTGAGAACAAAAACACTTATTGTCAAATTTAAAGAATAGGCTTTCTTGTCACTGTCAGTGCCTAGCCTACATTTATTACAAGGTTAACTTTGAGGTAGCTTTTACAAAAAAATGAATCTTTAAATTAAGAAAAATAACTTAAAGCTGTAGATTTTTATGGTGACATAAAGGCCTCCAACATAAAAAGAAACATAAGATCAACCAGCATAATGCTTTCCCTTCTTTAAAATAAACTCAACCACTTGAAATGAAAGTGCAGTATTTGAAAGAAAACCAACCAAATAAATAAATAAACTAAATAAATTAGCTGCCCTTAAATATAAAGTACAGCATAAATAAAACCAAACAACATTGCTCTGTTCATTCTACTTTCATGTTCTTTTGCAAGAAAATTAGTATGTCCACGTTTTCTGCTGAGAGATGAGACCTACTTGCAGAGACAATGTCCCCTGCTGTAGAGAAAATTCTCTCACTTGGTACAGTTGTGCCTGAGACAGCAAGGTAGCGTTGTGACAATTTAGCAATGTGAGGATACTTTGGCTCATTTATTTTATAGGGGATCTGCATCAACAGAAATGCAATCTGTGGCTTAGGAGGTGACTTCTTGCTGAATGATGCTGGACAAAGGTTTGTTGGTTCTCTCCTCTGTTGTAAAGAGTTCTCCAAAAAGCTCTGCCATGGCAGATTTTTTTCTGGGGAGGAGCTGATGCTCCTGGCTCTGCTGCGGAGGATGAACTGGCCACTTGGATGTCACTGGATTGACCCTGTACAGTAGAAAACCAACAAACACCATAATAGTTTAGAAAATAATATTAATAACAACAAAGTGCTTTCATAGCAGCAAAGACACTAAACGTATTCTTTGGGCTGTGGGGGAAATTATTACAAAGCCACAAATATGCTGGGTTTAAGTTTAAGAAATATACTGTAATAGTAATGATGATAAATTACATTACATTTAGTTACACAATACCTGCTTTTTAATTTCCATCACCTCTGTGGTGAGATTACTGTAAATTTTCTGAACAGAGGCTTCCTCCAGGTAAGGCAACGACTTGAACCTTGGGTTCAGTGCTGTGGCTCTGTGCAAATAGCCCTGAAGATCAGGGTCACGGCATTTGCCTTTACGGTCTTCAGAGATGGCTACCTTTGCATCTTTGATTGGGGGAGTGTCCACATCACTAGTTGTCATGGATTTTAGTATCATCTTTTGCAAAGAGATGATCATTGACACAGATGGGGATGCTTCAGCACTCGTGAGTGTTGTCACAGTCTTCAGGGTTTTAAGAGTGTTAATCAGGTCCTCTGGCAGTTTTGCCTGCGTGTCTGACAAGGTTGCAATGTCCTTTACGTTTTTTTTACCTCGTTGTCCATCATGGCAGAAAATATGGCAGCCTGCTGTTCGACATAACGCTCTAATATGTCATACGTTGTATTCCAACGAGTAGAGACGAAATGTACTAGTTTGTAAACAGGAAGTTGCAGCATCTCCTGCTCGGTTTTCAGAGCATGGGCAGCTGTTGCATTGACTGCATTAACCATATTTTTTTGCATTGTCTGTAGTCACAGGGATTGTGCTGTTGCACTTCTCCAGTTTCCACTTTGTCACTGCTTGTGTCAGTGCTTTAGAGAGATGCTCACTGGTGTGGCTTTTATAAAGGGGGCGGGTCTGCAAAATCATGCTTCTTATCTCCCACTCCGAAGTAATGTAATGTACAGTCACAGTTAGGAAACTTTCAGTGGCCCTGGAGGTCCATGCATCTGAAGTAAGAGCTACGTAGGCTGTTTCGGACAATTCTTTGACAATTACTTGTCATGTCTCTTCAGACAGTTCGGGAATTATCACGTCGCTGAAGTGTTTGTGGGAGAAAATATTATACTGCGGCTTGAGTACTTTGATCATATTCTTAAATCCTGCATCTTCTACCATGGCATAAGGCTGCATATCTTTCGCTATAAAAACAGACAGTGCTCTTGTTATAGCTTTAGCCCTGTCTACTTTGCTTTGCTTAAATGCTTCGGGTAGTACAAGTTGTTCTGTCCTTTCCGACTTTCTCTTTCTTTCACTGTCAGTTGATACACTGGGGTGATGTCTCTGCAGATGAGCTAACATATTGAAAGTGTTTCAATTAGCATTAGCAAAATGTGTTGCGGTTTTATCCACCACTTTCTTACCGCCATTGTCATATGTAGCACTAAATCCAAAATGATCCCACACAGTAGACTGAAACGATACTGTCGGTGCCTCCTCTAAAAACTCTGAATTCCAAATGATAAAAAACACTTTATGCTGTGCGTGGCCGGACTGAACAATACACATGTGTCTCGAACCGTGACAAGCGAATTTAACCGTTCCACCCCTAACACAAAGGTACACGGTATAGATTGGGTTTGTGTTAAAAAGCCGTTAGTCATTTATTTACATTATGTTCTCTCTCTTAAAATGTAAACAAGTGTAAATGTCAACATTATCATATATGCTTAAAGCAGGGGTGCCAAATCCTGTTCCTGGAGATTGACATTCCTGTAAAGTTTAGCTCTAACTCTAATGAAACTCATCTTAACCAGCTAAGTAAAGGGATAGTTCACACAAAAATTTAAATTCTGTCATTAATTACAAACCCTCATGTCGTTCAAAACCCATAAGACCTTTGTTCATCTTCGGAACACAAATGAAGATATTTTTTATGAAATCCGAGAGATTTCTGACCCTGCATATACAGCAAGGGAACTACCACATTCACCTACTACGAGAATACTTTGTCCGCGAAGAAACCAAAAATAACAACTTCAACAATTTCTTCGACACGCATTCACGACAGTACCCTGACGTATGCATGTAAATTCCTCTGCTTGCAAACAAGCCACAGTCCATCCGGGTTCTACATCAGAACGCCGGCTCCTGCGTTGTGGTACTCTCTTAAATACGTGTCGAAAACTAACGATATAGTTACTACGTTTCTGGGCCTTGAACGTGGTAGTTCCCTTGCGGTCTATGGCGGGTCAGAAAGTTCTCGGATTTCATCAAAAATATCTTAATTTGTGTTCTGAAGATGAACAAAGGTTTTACGGGTTTTAAAACGAAATGAGGGTGAGTAATTAATGACAGAATTAAAATGTTTTGGGTGAACTATCCCTTTAATATCTTCAGGAATAATTACAGAGAGGTTTGTTGGAGCAGGGTTAGCACTGAATTCTGCATGAAGGTAGGTCTCCAGGAACAGGATTGGGCACCCCTGGCTTAAAGGAACATATGTTTGAAGTTTGTCAGATAAAACATGAGCTTATTGATGCATTTGCAAATGTCACTCTTGGTTGGAGGCTTCTGTAAATATTTAGCTTATATGTAGAGCTACATTTCAAATTTAATGGTGCAACGCAAAAATATTTTGTATTGCATAAGTTGTACCTTAGTGCCTTGTTATGTTGTAAGTATCAGGCTTGGCCACTCCTGGCTCAAATGGTTTCAGAAAGTTATCCCATTTCTGGGATCAACCTTTTGTGTTTTTATTGTTCACAGGTGTACCAATCTCTACCCAGTGGGGTCCCCAGGGGTACTTCTACCCCATTCAAATAGCTCAGTATGGGCTGAGCCACTACAGCAAGAACCTCACAGAAAAGCCACCTGATATAAAGATCTACGGCATGTCTGAGGAAAAAGAGGGTGGCTCAAGTCCATGGGTTGTCCCTAAGGGTTGCACACTCTCTAAGCTACAGGATCAAGGTCGCTTTGGGTTTGCGCATCATTTTGTCACAGCGGGTATGAATTTTTGTAGGTTTGAATTCAGATGAATCAACTGTTTTGCTGTGATGATCACAGATAGATGATAATGTTGTTGTATTTTCATAGAGAACCCTGATGGTGTATCTTTGGTCTTGGACAACGCAAAAGATTTCGTCCTAACCTTTGATGTGAAGTTTGTCTCCAATGGTAGCGTCTCTGTGGTTCTGGAGACCACAGAAAAGGGACCTCCTTACATCCTCCATTACATCACTAGTCCACTCCTTCTTTCCTTTAAAGACCGAGAGGTCATCTACGGCATCGGCTCTCGAGCCTCCTGGAGTACCGTCAGTCGTGATTTAGTGACAGATTTGCGTAAAGGAGTCGGTTTGTCCAACACCAAAGTGGTGAAGGCGACCAAGATCATGCCTCGCTCTGTGGTCCAGCTGGTTCTTAGAGGTTCTGGCTTTATCAGCAATATCACTGTGTCTTCCACTGCACACATGGCTCCCTTCTTTGCCGCCAGTGATTGGCTTCTTTATAACCAGGATGAGCATGGAGGGTGGCCGATTAAGGTGACCCGAAAACTCGGAGAGGGGTTCAAGAGCTTGGAGCCCGGATGGTACTCCGCAATGGCCCAAGGCCAAGCCATGTCGACATTAGTGAGGGCGTACCTGGTGACGCACAACCCTGCATACCTCGGCGCCGCAATCCGAGCGACATCCCCCTTCAAAAGGACTTCTGAACATGGTGGAGTCAAAGCGACATTCATGAACAAGTACGACTGGTACGAGGAATACCCCACAACACCTAATTCATTTGTTCTTAACGGCTTTATCTACTCTCTGATTGGGCTATATGATGTGGCGGAGACGGCGGGCAACAAGCTTGGTCGAGAAGCAGGTGTACTCTTCAGTCAAGGACTGGAGTCACTCAAGGCCATGTTGCCATTGTTCGACACAGGCTCTGGAACGGTTTACGACCTGAGACACTTTACCCTGGGTCTTGCCCCTAATTTAGCACGCTGGGACTACCACACCACGCACATCAACCAGTTACAGCTGCTCGCATCAATCGACACTGCCCCCATTTTCAGGGAATATGTGAAACGCTGGAAGACTTACCTGAAAGGAGGCCGGGCCAAGCACAACTAGACTTTCTCGGATGGCAATTTTATATAAAATCTTGAACTATTGTTTAAGAATGAAATATACTGAGCATTAATAATTACATAAGCATTTTTACTTTACATGAAAAGGGTGCATATTTTATCCAATATGTTTGCTTTAAAGTGTCTTGCTGAAGAGCCTGAGTTGTTGTACAGACTTTGAGAATGTGGAGTCACCTAAAATATTTATTTGCAAAATATCTTGGTATATTTGAATGTAAGAAGCAATGCACAGTTATTTACACAGATGTTGAAGAAAGCACAGCAGATTTGCTCTAAAATTAAACGACTATATATCTTGATGCATACAGTTAGTAAATGTGAGTAGTCACACTAATGATTGTGTATCAATGAATAGATTATGCTGTAAAATGTCATTAGTATTGCATAATGGTAAAATGAGTGTATTAGAAATGTTTTAGAAAATTTTGATCTTTGTAGCCTATTTTAAAGCACAATCCTATAGGTCTTTGTGATTTGATACAGTTGCACTATTTGAATAGTTTTCTTTTCAGTATGTAATTATTTAAAGCTTAAATAAATGTGCTATTTGAGCTGTTTTAAAACTTTCAGTGAACAATCATTGCTATCAAAAAGTGGACCGAGAGACACATGGAGCACATATCATATTTGCTATGATTATCTTTGAAGTGGCTTGGAGTCCCATGTAAAACCCTGGCACGTGAATATGGTAATCATTAATCACTGTGGTATATATCAAAATACCGTGGAGTTATGATCCGATACAATCACTGTATCTTAGTACTGCCACAAGGACTTTGATGTAGGCTAACACAATTAAAAATTAAACAAATTAAAAAATAAATTAATCCCAATGACCAGTAAATTATAAAAATAACACAATCTACCTGTTGTTTTTCTGAGGCGATCCACTCTGCAATTGATTAACCGACCTAATGCAGTTCAATGCAGTCAGTTCTCGATTAGCGTGCCTGCCTACGCCGAGCTCCCCACAAACCAGTTAGCTAACATCATTTCTCATATGGCCACCAGAATACAATCTCTCAATGTTCCGATGATTAAAACGGGTTGATTGAGATACTCCTAATTAACATGAATTTAATCTGCTCGGTGCCTCGGATCGGTGGGTTGTCAATCCAGCTCGTTTAATAACGATCTAGCCCGGGCTAACGGGCTAAGAAGCTAACAGCGTCTTCAATGACATTTAACTGACACACACAACAGAACAGGTCTGTAAAATATCGATAAATTCGCTATTTAATCTACATTTCAATATATTCACAATGTATTTGTGGTTGTGTAATTGTTAGAACTAATATATGTGTAAATACATCAACGTTTATAGCGAATAAATGGTGGCTAACTAGCTTCAGTTCAGTTTCCATATTTGGGCGGGCACGGCAGTGAGTTGCTAATGCAGTTCAATGCAGTCAGTTCTCGATTAGCGTGCCTGCCTACGCCGAGCTCCCCACAAACCAGTTAGCTAACATCATTTCTCATATGGCCACCAGAATACAATCTCTCAATGTTCCGATGATTAAAACGGGTTGATTGAGATACTCCTAATTAACATGAATTTAATCTGCTCGGTGCTTCGGATCGGTGGGTTGTCAATCCAGCTCGTTTAATAACGATCTAGCCCGGGCTAACGGGCTAAGAAGCTAACAGCGTCTTCAATGACATTTAACTGACACACACAACAGAACAGGTCTGTAAAATATCGATAAATTCGCTATTTAATCTACATTTCAATATATTCACAATGTATTTGTGGTTGTGCAATTGTTAGAACTAATATATGTGTAAATACATCAACGTTTATAGCGAATAAATGGTGGCTAACTAGCTTCAGTTCAGTTTCCATATTTGGGCGGGCACGGCAGTGAGTTATTGTTAGTTGCACGACCAAATAACACATTTAATGCCTTTTATTGATGCTGTTTGAGTAGATTTTGTTTCTCTGGTTTGCTGTTGATGAAATGTGGATGGAAAATTTCACTGGCACGGTGTGGATTTAAATGGCTTGTTTGTTTACATGGTTCACCACCATCTGATAGGGCTTTAATTTTACCACAGCAACATCAAATCATATTAATCTGTGTTTAAATATATAAAATGACCAAATCAAAGGTAATTTTGTGGAGAAATATCATGGCAAAACACCCATAGGGTTTACTTAAACCCTGATTTGTTGTCTACAGGATGGTAGAGTGATGCTTGATTTTTGGGCCCTTTGAATCCATAACAGATCATTGTGTTTGTATTCAAGATACATTGTTAATAAGTACATTCTTAAAACTTTCAAATCAAGGGTTTTGTTGCATGAGCAGTCAGTTTTGTACAGACATCTGTCTGGAGATGAGCTGTCATTAAGGTTGCAAGTCTCTGTGTTGAAATACAGAGAATTAACAGTGATCTTGCTCTTGATCACTGTTTTTTAATCCGTGAATGATCTCTCAGATGTTTTCTGCTGATTAATATGCGTCTTACAGACCTATAGATTGATGATTTAAGTCATTGTTTTTGTGTCTGTCCACCAGTCTGCATGGCTGACGTGCTGCTGAGTTAGTGTCCGGCCCTTATGCGAGGAAAGCTGGCCGGCCGGGCCGTGGAGCACTAGAGGGGAAAAATGGCAGTGCAGAACAGAAACTCTGTGCTGATCCTGTCGGGTCGAGAGCGAGGAGCTCGCATTCTGGGATCCCAGCGGCTCCTGCAGCAGCTGGTGGAAGACCGGACGCGCTGGATGAAATGGCAGAGCCAGGTAGGGTATCAACCTTAATGATTCTAATGGTTCACTCGGGCCTACAGTAAGCAGACGTTCCTATATAGAGCAGTTTCAGGATATCACAGTCAGAATAATGTCTTAAAGGGGTCATATGATGCGATTTCAATTTTTCCTTTTTCTTTGGAGTGTTACAAGCTCTTGGTGCATAAAGAAGATCTGTAAAGTTGCAAAGACTATAGTCTCAAATCCAAAGAGATATTCTTTATAAAAGTTAAGAGTCAACCACGCCTACCTAAAACGGCTCGTTCTAACACACCCCCACATGTCTACGTCACTATGTGGGAAGATTTGCATAAAGCCCCCCAAATGTTCACGCAAAGAAAGAAGGCGTAACTTTTATTCTCGCTGTAGTATTGTTGTTGCCGCCGCCATGTCATGAATGCGCTGTGTGATTCGTTGTGAAAGCAAAACTACTTTGTTTGGTCTTCCAAAAGAGGACAATATCCGCTTCGTCATGCCTAGAGCTGATCCGTGCTGGTCGTTGAGGAAATACTACAACTTTGTGCTGTGGATCGCCGGATCGGCTTTCAACGTGGATGAAGCGGAGTCCAGCCCGCCGTGTGTGATGCTGTGTTTCGAAACTACTTTGTTTTGCCTTCCAAAGAGGACACGACTACAAAATCAGTGGTTAAGTTGTATTTACAACACTGTTCCAGAACCGTTCAACTAGGGCTGGACAATAATTCAATATCAATATGTATCGCGATATAATTTTTTTCAATAACGGTGATATGATTTTTAAACACATTTCCGATATTTCGATATACATTACCAGTTTCCCATACATTGATTTATTTGTGGCGTTTGACTTCGTTGAATAAACATGAGCACTGCACGTTTCAAAATCAAAACGCGTCGCGGGTGTTTTATATGAATGTATCTCTGAAGGGAACCTAATATCTTCAGAAAAGTTTCGATGGCATTTTTATTTTATCAGATAAAGTAGCATTCATGCGAGCTGCTTTGATTACAGCCATTACTGGAGAAACCGCTAGTTTTACCACTCTAAAAAAAAAGCGCCTCCTGCTGGCAGACAATCAGTTTGCATTTTCAAAAATAAGCACGTCTCCAGCCACGTTTTGGTTGTTGCTCAATTTTTGGGGGGTTTACTGCAGCAAATCAGAGCACTTTTCATACTCTTTATCCTGGCTGAAGCACATATAGGAATGAATACTTTTATTTAGCAAGGATGCTTTAAATTGATCAAAAGGGATGATAAAATATTTCTATTCCAGATAAATGCTGTTCTTCTGAAGTTTCTATTCATCAAAGAAACGTTAAATTCTACTCCGCTGTTTTCAACATAATAATAAATGTTTTTATTATTATTTTTAAAAATATATTTAAGATCAACTAAATGCAGGCTTGGTGAGCAGAAGAGAATTCTTTAAAAAACATAAAAAATCTTACC